CCGTCACAGACCATGCGTCTAAGGCAGACAAACTGTTCAGCCCTGTTCTGCAGTGTGCTACAGCAGTTGGCAGTTGCCTGCAGTGTCCTACCGCAGTCGGCAATTGCCCTTGCGCATTGTTTATGAAGTGCTGATCGCCTAGAGCTTTACAGTGGCACATCAGTATGTTAAAGCGGCCTGCCGGTTACCTCCTTAGGTGGTGACGGTACGCTGAGCGACATATAAAGGTTTCCTGTTGCATATTCAGCGTAGCTAGGGTGCAGTGCGCACTTGTCATCAGAACTTTGGTAAACCGTGTAGATCAATTGCTGAAGCATGTACCGGAGAAATCGATGCAGCCAGCTGCATTTGAATTTAGCGTGTCCACCTGTGTCTCGCCGATTAGGACGATTAATTTGCAAAACAGTTTATTTTAATAATATAGGCAATACTGCGAGGGTCATCAAAGGCCTGTATACAGCACCACCACAAGCAGCGCAGCAGCAGTACTAAGTCAGGCTGACCGGAGGCCGATGAGAAAGCACGAATGTTAGAACAATACTCAGGGGGAAAAAAAAAAAGACTGCAGTGATGGTGGAACCATCGACTCACTCTTCCTGCATGTGCCGCGGTAACCAACTTCGTCACGGCTGCCGATCGGTTCGGAGAGTTTAACAAGCTGGTTTTGTATTGTCACGCTGGCGCTGGCTGGACGTAACTAGACACTCCGACAATGGAAACGAGGCGCCTAACCGGAAAAGTGCACCTCACTTCCGTGCAGCACAGCAGCCGTTTCTGTGTGAAGGTGGCTCGTGCACCGGGCGGCGCAGCAGTCTCTGCCAAAACGGGAAAAGTGGAAGTGCCGTCTATCCGCACATTTAAGACGAGACTTTTTATTTTTTTATTTTTTTTAATTTCTCTCACCAAAGTAGGGGTGCGGCCCTTACAAGAGTATATACGGTACACAATGCTTGGGAGGCCTTGCCGTCGGCAATAGTGTCACGGGCATTCTTGAAGTGCTGCCTCTCGAACAATCTGGACGGCACGTATGACTCCTCGGTTTTCGTAGACAGAGACAAAGACTAGCAGCGATAATGAATGATCGGGCAAGCCAGTGATTATTGCATTTTGACTGCTGCAAATATAAGTATAGAGTCCTCTCTTTGATTGCTGTTTACAGTTGAATCACCTCGTGTTATAATCGTGATACACTTTTCTTTTTTTTTTTTTTTGTCGAGACCTATAGTACCCCCTTCGCAATAAATTTGTGGCCACGTTATTTACGTGCAAATACGGTAAGGCTGGCCGCCAACTCGTTTGGATCCAGTGTCGCGGAACTCCCACAAAACACTGGTGTGAGAAAATACGATCGCTCCAGGGAAATCTGCTCTCTTCACACAGTTTCTTCGCATTGAAAGCTCACTGATACTTTCCAAGCGCGCATGCCACTGATCGTAGCCACCGTTAAAATCAAAGTTCATTGTTGCTATTCGAGCGAACTCTCCCCCCCACCCCCACCCCCCTTTTTTTCATGTTCTTCCAAGACAGGTGGTTTCATTTCTAATTGAGCCTTTGACCACAGTTCTAACACGCAGGGAATGTTATCTTGTGTGCCTTCTAAGCAATAGAGATGGGCCGACGCATTTGATCTCCGATTCAGCAGCGCTTGCGCAATTTTACCCGCTTGTGAAAGTTGCGATGTGAGGGGGCATGTTATCAATTTGATTGATTTGTGGGGTTTAACGTCCCAAAACCACCATATGATTATGAGAGACGCTGTAGTGGAGGGCTCCGGAAATTTCGACCACCTGGATGTTATCAATTTTTTTTTTTACTTGTTACGAAACATAGCTGCGGCAGTGAAAACCTGCTGAGAGTTTATTGTATTGCTATCGCAATAATATCACAGTTTTTTACCGCTACATAAGTGTGTTGGGTCCACTCTGCCTTCAGTCCCCCTTTCGTTTATTTGAGCATTTATTTTCTAAATTTTTATGCTGAACCTGCATATAACAAAACAAAACGAATTTTTCCAAGAAATTATCATTGTCACTATATTTAGGTTTAACTGTTATCCAAGTTCTACTCTAACTAATGTGAACTAGCAGCCACTTGTGGAAGTAGACAGGCATGCCGAATAGCCTCTGAAGACTGGTGTTGCAGAACAGACCATTCATTAAAACTGTGCATTCAGGTAAGTGAACGCGCGCATGCATGAACGTGTGCTTCAATGCGAATGTGTATTTACGAGAGTGATATCTCATATCACTGAATGTGGACATTTTGAGAACACCTGGAAGACACAGCTATTTTAAGGAAAGCATGGCTTTACCTGATGCTTTCATGATTGGAAACTATGATTATATATGCCTAGTGTGTCTGCAGAAAGTGAGACACATACAACCAACACTTTTCAAACACAGTTCACAGTGTGTTGATTTTTCACTTTACCGCAGAAGATCGCACTCCAGTAAATCTTTTATGAAAACGCAGGCCGAGCCCGAAAGATGATAATTATAAAAGTTGCTCAGGCACCTCATCAATAAGCACTAAGCATGTGCGAATAGCCGATCTCTTTGAATATTCAAAAAAATATAAGTATTCAAATTTGCTTTTAAACAAATGTAAACTTTCTGAAATTTCGAGGTATTCGAAATGAACGAATCAGTGCATAGAAGATGGCAGGTGACCCCCTTGTGTAAGTGGTTTCAAAGTGTTATGCCATGGAAATACCTTTGCAGAAAAAATCTCCATAGCCACAAGATCCACTTCCAAGTTAAATGAATATAATTACCCTCACATCTATAAATTATTTTTCAAACTTGATTTGATTGATATGTGGGGTTTAACGTCCCAAAACCACCATATGATTATGAGAGACGCCGTAGTGGAGGGCTCCGGAAATTTTGACCACCTGGGGTTCTTTAACGTGCACCCAAATCTGAGCACACGGGCCTACAACATTTCCGCCTCCATCGGAAATGCAGCCGCCGCAGCCGGGATTTGAACCCGCACCCTGCGGGTCAGCAGCCGAGTACCTTAGCCAGCGCGGCGGGGCATATTTTTCAAACTTCTAGAGCTAGACTTGTTAGAAGGGCTTATATGCTTTAGGTATAGTTAACCTTGAAAAAAATAGCATATTTTACCAGATATCACTTGCCTCCCTCTTAAATTCAAATCATGCTAATATAATGAGGTTGCTTACCGTTCACTTCAAACCAAAAATGACATTCGCATGCACCTTCGCATGCACCTTGCTTCAGTTTTTTTTTTTAATTATTCACCCATTTTTCTTTATAACATAAAAAATATACAATTCAATCTATTCAACCAAATTACTATTCCCTCCAAATTTACTTCAAACCTAAAATTTACTGTTGGCACGTCCCTAGTAACCACACAGCACACTGTTATATGAAGAATTTCGTTGCATGTACAGTATAGACCACTTATAATGTAAGTCGCGAATATCCGCATTATAAGTGGTACCGCACTATAACCAAAAGAAACTTTTTCAAGGGCTGCACTTGCGCAAAACGTGTTGAGCATGCAGCTTCGCGTGTCCGAGAATGAAAACATGCGATGCGTGATTGCTAACATTTAAATTTCTGAATGTTAAAAGAATTTAACGTCTAAAGACGTGCAATGTTGCCAATGAAATAAACGCGAGAAGGGGAGGGGGTGTCTAACAAACGAAAGCACCATCGCGAAAACTCGCTGACTACCAGATTACGCGCATTACACAAACTATGTCGAATCACGTCCAGAAATTGACGCGATGAAAGACGCCAACCATTTGATTTCACGAGCGTGCACTCGATTCAGGACATCGCAACCTAATCGCGAACCGCTATTTGAGCGCTACATGTGCCATCCTCGTTTTCATCAACGGTTAGTACTTTTACTGTCAAGTGTGGCCACCGCAAAGAGTTTCGTTGATTTGGTATCTAACCGTAACTTAGATTCACATGACTTCTACCAATCAAAGCGCTACCAATGCCAACGAGGCCTAGCTTGCCGTTTGGTATGTTGTCGCGGAAAGTTTCTCCAAAACATGAAGATTCGATGTCAAAAAGATCGCACTAGCAGTGAACCAAGAGCAGCGTGTTTTGATACGAAGTTCACGTTCATGGCAGTGAGATCAGAAACGAAACTTGCCAAGCTTGCAAACAACAGCGCACTAGCAGCAAAAGGGAAAGCTCTCGTCATAAAACCGTAATAGGTTTTCAATTTACAGGCGAGAAAGCAAACGCTGTATTTGTTGCAAGCTTGATAACGACAACGCCTTTCAAACCTGTAAAGCGTATGCAGTTGATAAGGACGAGATCGCACATGCCACGTTGAGCGGCACACAGCCGAAGCCACGCTAGTGACGTAGTACGTTGTAGCCACGTCGGCGCCGGTGCAAAGGCTTATCGGTCACCTAGGCAACTGTCCTCCTCCCTTACTCGGCGAGCCCGGACAGTGTCCCGCAGTCTTCTTTCATTTGCTTTTTCTTCCCTCCGCCCTTTGTTCGTTCCCTCCGCGTCCCCCCCCCACTTCATAATAACCTCGTCGTTCGCTTCTCGGCAGCGCACTCACTAGCGCGTTTGTCACAAACTATTTCCGACAACTGCATTATAACCGGTCTATATTCTTGGGGGACTGCACAATAAGCGGTATGCATATACATGGGGTCCTATGGGAGGGTAAACAGGAGTAGAAAAAGACGGCATTGTAAACGGTTCTGCACTATAAGCAGTCACGTTATAAGTGGTCCACACAGTAGTACTTTGTCACACACGGTATCAACCAAATGTACTAGTAGTTACAACCTATCTGCAATGCCGACAGGCGAGTGGTAAGCACTAAACAAATAATCATTCTTGCGTTGCCAACAAGCAGCAAAGGAAATATCTCGCTTTTGAGTCTACAGCCACAGTCCACAGACTGAACACAATTTAAAAAGCTTGTAAGAAAGCACGTGCAATATGTTACATCTTAGTTTTTTCTCACTGGCACCTTAGCCCATGCTTTCTCACCGTCATGAATTTCTCTGGCGTGTTCAAAATGTACAGGTCCATCAATTCCAGCGCACCCGAGCTTGCCTTGCTCACTGTAGGTGACAGACGGCAACTGCAAAATGCAGAGAAAAACAAAAGCGAGAGAAACTCCAGAGAAAACAGCACCTCAGCCATTCACACATCTTGCGAATTGTGAGCTCCACAAATCTTTGCTCGCAAACTGGAAGCATGAAATCTAACAAAGTGTCATTTGTATTGGTGCAACATTGCAAGTTTCCCATGCTTTAGTATTTATTTTTCAATAAGTTTCCTGAGATTGTGAGGCTGACCATTGTTTTATTGACTCGCACACTGCCACTACACTAAGTGGTACTCAGTAGCCTGGGTGTCCCCCGTTCTTACAAAGGAAGAAAAAAAAAACGACCACGGGGCCCCTTATGAATTTACTTAAAGGGCCACTCACCAGGCCCCATATGAAATTTTAGTAAGACAGTGAAAGTTATTGGGTGTCCGGAGGAACATTTTGCCACAAAAATTTTTTGAATAGGTTCATCCCAAGCGGAGAGAACAGGTTTTTTGAAGCGGCGCGAAACGAGGATACGAGGAGGCGAGCTTGAAACCCTTGCCGCTCCTCTGCGTAGCCTTCGCAAGCCAAATCTCTTCCCCACCCTCTCTGGCATCAGAGCAAGAAGTCACATGCGCATGACGTGCCCAAACAAGTCTAACCCACAAGCACGCGAGCCGCGTTGCTTTGTTGACCAGCATTATTTTGGGGTTTTCTGCCTGTTTCTGCGGAATGGTTCGAAAACGCTGGCTCAGACAGGGTAGATAGATGAGCACAATGAGTGCGCGAAAGTGTAGGAGCGTTTTACGGCGGTCGTCTGCGTGATGCGTTGACCGCAAAAACACGAACGCATGCGAAACGCCAACACATTAGCTCCAGATCTCGTTGCAATTCACAGGAAAAAAGTGGAAAAAATATGCTCAGATTCATTTATCGCATCTCATTATTTAGCTAGAGTTTTATTAATCTCTTCAAGCAACGAATTACATTAACTACACATGCAGTGTTAAATAATTTTTGCCATGTCACTTGCCACTGTTTGCAACGTCATAGCAGAGTCTTCTACGTAGAGCACCAATGTCACTGCATTGCCGTGTATGTAGGGGCATTTATCATACGCGGACGTCACGCCCTCATTCTCAGGGCGCGCCGGCAGAAGGGAGGGGGAAGGAAGGGGGAGCTGCGTTCATCTTGAAATTTGACCCATTTCTGCGACGCATAGCGTTGCAAATTTTGGCAAACGTGATCATGAACGCCTCGTCTACGCATCGCGCTTGTCAGCTCAAAATCGTCAAACCTGGTGAGCGGTCCTTCGAAGGGGCCCTACAACACTTGCCTCAGAAAACGCTGCCAATCCGTAGTAGAGGCCCCGGGGACATGCGAGCCAAATATTATAGCACAGCACATGGCCAGGAATTCACATTGAATCTTCAAAGGTTGCCAAAAATTGCTCTCTCTTTCTTCAGTACATGACGGAACAAGCTCAAAAATGACTCGTCGCAGCCGTTGCATTAGCCGTTGGCCGATTCGAGCAAGGCGCGCTTGGTCATTACTGGGACTGCCACGGGTGGCCGCATCTTGTCAACAGGTGCATGTGCGATCACATTGAAAAGACACGTATTTGAACAAAAAAGAAGAGAAAAAAAGTGCTTAAATTTACAAGGCAGGCCTGACGTATTTTCTTTCCTCATGCAATCCCCCCCCCGTTTGGCTTCCAGAGCTCTCACCGGTACAAGAGAATATAGAATGCAATTGCGTCGTTCGTCAAATCTTTCCAGCTCCGCTCGTACTGGATAGATTCTAAATAAACTTTTGCAGCAGTGAATTCGTGAGGCACTAAACTCTTTCAGTGAATTCATTTCATGGCAACAAGAAAAAGTGTTGCTGGGCCCCTTTAAGGTGACTAGAAGACGAAAGCGATATCTTTTTTTCTGTCAGCTGATGAGTTGAAGCTACCTTTTCCTGCACCAAACATGGTCCACTGCCATACCATTCTGTTTCGCACTGCCTCCATTTTATGCGATGATTTTTTGCATCATTCGTATTCCTGACGGCTCAGGATGCCGTCGACAAAGGACGTCGACGGTTAATTTTTGTATCTGATTTTGGCATCCAAGGCTTTCCACCCTAATACAGTAAAAGCTCATTGATTCGAATTCCACGGGAATGCTGAGCAATTTCAAATTAAGCAAAATTAGAAACATTAAAAGTGAGCAAAAATGAGTGGATTTCGGGGTTGGGGGCACGAAAAATATTTATTGGCCAAAAAAGTCAGCGATGACCATCTGCTTCTTTCTCTGAATGCCACAGCTGCGGCTCTCTGTTCCAGCGCGCGGACGCGGCGCAGGGAATCCTCTTCACCCTCTTCAAAGCTGAAGAAGAGACGCGCCCCATTAAGTGCCTCCATCACCGCAGAAGCTGATGGGCGCACAGGTGCTTCGTCATCTTCGTCTTCCTCACCTTCTGGCTCTTCAGCAACAGGCTGCGCACCGGCTACTTGAGCGATAATGTCCTCATCAGTCAGTGCACCACACACTGATGCAACGGTGTCAACTTCAACATAATCGGCAAAACGTACACCCCAAAGAGTGTCGCGCAATGCCACTGGCATGAGCTCCTCAGCCCCATCCACGTCGACGTTACAACTATCCTGCGCACTTCCAGCTGCAAATCCATTGTGGGCGGAAACAGTTTGCGATTGTGGTCGCGGTCACCTGTTCCCATGCGCGCACCAACATGTGCATGGCAGTGAGCAGCGTAATGCCGAAGTCCTTCCTGTCGCCCGCGCACAAAATCATTCTCTACAGCACGTGACGCCTATTAAAGCACTTGATGTTCCTTATCACACCTTGGTCCATTGGCTGTAGGGCTGCAGTCGTATTTGCTGGAAGGAACACTAACTTTGTTGCTTGTTGCAAAAGACGGACCGATCCCACCGCTGCCACCACTGTTGCGAAGCCACCTCCGAAATCCCACTGCTGACCTCCACTGTTGCGAAAGACGGGGACGCCAACACGGTCCCGAAGGCGCCACTGCTTTCAACTCCGCCGGGAAGGTCACCAGCCGTTTGGTAGCGTATGTTTCTCAGCTCGCGACTGCTTCTGCGCAGAGCTGATAAGACGAGCGGACGAGACGACGGTGAGTTAAACAAGGTTTATGTACAGCATATATACAAAGGCGTTACAATTTCAGCACTGGGGCCGACAGAGACTCGAAGAGCCGAGCTCTCCTCTCTAACACATAGGTCAACTTTTCGCCTAAGACCGCCGACTCGCACACATGTCGGCTCTCCGACACGGGGACTCCTCTCTCATAGGACCTCCGATCGCGACGCGCCGCAGGGCTTCTTTTATTTGCACCGGGTCCAACCAAAATGTCCAATCAGAAGCGCCGCTGGTCGTCAGGGCAGATTCCTCCAATTGGGGTCGCCGCTGGGCCACGTCACACCCCCAGACACGAGGACGCCGGCTCGCTGTCACGTGCGCTGCTGACTCAATGCACGTGGGCCAGAGAGGCGCCGCGCGTGTTCACGCCGTTGAGTTGTTCGCGTCAGGCGGACTGCGGGCTGGCCTTGACCCAGATTGCCTTTTTCAGAGGCACGGACGTTTGACGAGGACTCGCTGGCATAACACCACCCCCGCCACCAGACAATGCACCGGAAAGACGAGCTGCTTCCACGGGGCTCGGATGTCAGGTGCACTCGTTCGCCAGGTCCCTCCAGGTTCGCCTCCAGGGCCATGGGGAGAATACAGCTCCAGACTGTTCCGGGAACACATCCCATTTTTGACGACGGATCCCAGCTCCACTGGCTTGTCGCCACAACTTGTCGACCAGCTTCACTCGTCACTTCTGACCATCTTCGGTTTCAGCACTTGTCGATGGTTCTGCAACTTGCCAAGAACGGATCGACAACAGACAACACACACGCAAGTGCCTTCGGTCACCCGACAGAACACCAGACAAAGTATAGTACAACATATACCTATCTACGTGTCTATCGGAATTTTGTTCCCTCTACATCAAGAGGCACATGTGGGACACAAGACTCTTAAAATGACAACTCAATTTTTTTTCCCACGTACAACAACGTAACGAATTAGAATACCACAAAGTTGGCCCCTTGAGATCACTCTGAACGAGAGCGCTCAGCCCAGGTCGTGATGAGGTCAAAATTTTGCCCCGAATCGCCAGCGAGAAACCAAAAGGTTGAGAAGGTATTAGCTAGAACGCACTGCTCAATGCACCTGCATTAGCGTTTAGCTTTCCCTTTTTTTTTTGATAGCGAACATCAAAGTTGCGCTGTGGAGCAACATGCTCCACCTCAGTAATCGGCCACTTTTAGGCGACGATACCTATGCGGCACCAAGAGCGGCTCACACTTTCGACGTTGCACAGGGGAACAACGATACGGCTTGCTACCGATTGACTCCTCACCGCTTAGCTCGATATCGTGTTCGATCACCCTCGTGTTTCCGGGGCGGTCCGAAAACACGTCTTCAAACTCGGAACCAATCTTTCTCAGGTCCTCTTTCTCAGGTCCTCCTTCACTTAAGCTAGGCTCTAGGTTTATCTGCTCCCGGATTACTTTCGATCCCCCTTCAATTACCTCACTAGAACTCAAAATTTCTGCTTCCTCTTCCTTTGAAGCATTCAACAACAGATTTACGACCGCTTGATGTTGAACCTATGGTTTCATGAAGTTGTAAATTTTGTCCGGCCGCCTTCCTAATTTCACTTCATAATTTGTATCGCAAGGCTTCGATAATACTTTGGCGGGCCCTTCCCAATCAACCTCAAGCTTGTTCTTTTTGAACGGCTGCAGCAGCATTACCTGACTCCCTACTTCAAAAGCACGCTTCTTCACCGATTCCTCGTAGTGCTCCTTCGACAGCACTTTTGCCGCGTTTTTCTGGCTTTCCACTAGCGCTTCAATTTGGCTTTCCACTAGCGCTTCAATCGAGAGATCCTCACGCTGCTCTCGAATGAGCGTCTCTCGATCAACTCTCGGCAGCTCGCTCCAACTTTCCGCTACAGGCGAGAGCGTTGCA